ATTAACTTTGAAACTTGTATCTATTCATTCATTCATTATTGGAGGGGGTGGGTTTCCCCATGCACCGTGACCAGTTGTTGATCTATTGTACGTCCCCCTTTGATATTCTACCAGTCGCCATACCCTTCAGGTACTGGTGCTCACTACAAAGAGTTCTATGTTCTGGGATATAGCATTATGCAATCTTGTGAGATTCAAATGACTTTTCAAGGGAATATATCACCTCCATCTCCAGGCTTGATGAGTAAGCCAAAGAAGAACCAAACATGAAGCGTACTTCTCCATGTGGAAGTTTCCATTCCTACCAAGAGCCAAAGAGTACATTCAGTGTCACTCAAGAGAAGGCGATACTGAAAGCAGTTAACAACTAGCAGAGCATCAGACACCAGAGACAGCTGGGTCAAGTGGTAATGCTTGTGAATTGTATTCAGGAAGTGCCTTTGAAGAATGCTGTCTTCTGGGATGTGGCACCATGTATATCCTGTGTGTGCGCACATGCACGGATTTTTCTACCTTGAAGATGGAGGCGATACATTCCTCCAAAACACTGGTTCACACAAGATCCTTAAGGTGTCACATCCCAGAACACGTAATTTTTCATAGTCACCACCGTGAAACCCTCGAATCTCACATAAGATGTGTCTTGTTTGAATCCCAGTTGAAAAGCCAACTATCCTGGCAGATTTTCAATAGTTCTCCTCAGTCCCTCCAGGCAAATTTCAGATAGTATTTCAAATTGGGCCACAACCTTTCCAATTCATTATAGGTAATTTTTATTGTATTCCTTTCTTCACAACACTATTTCCAGCAGGTGGAGTTGCTGTCTAGGGCAACATTCAATTCCAATTCACTACTCATCAGTCCTGTCATTCGATGCTATATAATCTGAGCTACTGACAGTGTAGCTAAATAAATAAATAAATAAATCATACACAAGTTTGTTCCTGTACATAAAATATCATGTATGTGAAGCAGCTCAATACAAGGGTGACCATGGACTCATAATACTGTTGTATAATAATGTTCTGTGATACAAGTCACTGTTAATGCGATAACTTGTCAGGCATAGTAATGCAGTGCTATGGGAACTCAGACCATCACCAAATTTTTACCTCCTGCATATATAAAAAGTTCTGCAAGGTGGGTTCCAGAAATGTTTTGCACAATTGTATGGATGGTGGCAAGATATGTATCAGCTGAAGTCAGCATTTTTAAAGAATCTATGTCCAAGAGCTTCTTAGTGCCATAAGATCTGATATGTGACTCCTGTCCTGGAATTATTTTAAGCTGTCACATAAGTTATGAAACTTATTTCATATGTAAGTAATTCATTTACAAGACTGATGATTCAATTCAATTCATTTCAAATTCAAAAACAGATCCAGATACACGCTGGGAAACAGCCACTGGATATAGAATGAGTCACAAATCAAAAAACAAAACATTCCATTCCCACAGGAACAAGTCAAGGCATTCATAATATAAAACAAAATAAAAAATAGAACACATCAGCCATATATACAACAAAACTCCCCTGGTATAGAACTCTCAAAGGTTTCAGGCGTCAGTAAAAGCTCTTTTTTCATTTACATTACTCATCTATTACTTCCATAAAATGTGTATTCAGGTGAAAGAATGCCATAGCTTACGAAAAGGCAACTAAATGTGACAGTTAATATCTCAATTCTGACACTTCTACTCCATGATATTGGGATGTGTTGTGGTCAGTCAAGTGGAACAGGAGGCTAGTCTCACCATAAGGTGCAAAGAGAATGCCATGCCAACACTCACTCTGTCAACAGACTCACTCACTTGTAAAATGTAAAGTCAGTCTTCTTGAACACATCCTTGGCATCATTAAGACGGTAGATGTTGACAAAATTCTTTCCCTGTGACAATGCACCTGAATGCAAATCCAGTATAGTTGCTCCTCCTTGAGAACCTCCCAGAGCCATACCGCGCTTTGCAATGCTCAAAAGGACATCCGCTTCACTTCCTGATACCAATTTATCTGACATCGCACGTCCACAACGCCTTGGCACACATCCTACAATCACATGAGAAAGTCTGTAGCTAAAACTTTACTGTGATGAAAATCTGAATTAGTTTAAAATATATCTGTACTTATAGCCATGCACTTCAAAAAAATGAGACATCCTACAAAGTAGAGACTGTTTAGCTCTCTCATGTTATTTAACACTACTGTTATTAACTACAAACAGGCTATGGGGAGTATAATAAGAGATGTGAGGATAATCATGAATCATAATTTGGAAAAATGTGAAACGTTCATCTACTTTATGACATCCAAGAGCTCATCCAATTCTCTGAATGACCATACACTTCTCTTATATGAAGAGCATAAATATGCAAATTATGTTTTATAATTCTGATATAAAACTTATGAATATGGTTATTACATTCATATTTCTACCACTTCAGCTATGCAACATACAGAAGTCTAGACTATGAACTAGTTATTCCATTTAATGTTCTGTCTTCAGGGATATTATGCTGTAGTCCTGATATATCAGAGGAACATGAGGTCTCCATCTTCATGAAGAATAAGCGAAGCAAGAAACATTGTATTATACCCCAGGAAATAGAACCCATCATAACAAACACTGTGAGAACTTCATATGCTATAAAGTTATTACATATATATATGCAAAATGAGGTTTTCATTTCCTGGCATGAATGCATAAGGGCAGGTCTAGATCAGTCCTTTCAGCATGACCTTCAACAATCCACTGTGCACCTCCTGCCATGAAAGTGATTTAAAAACAAATTGTGGTACTCTGTAGTACTTTTACTGCTAATGTCAATTTATTTGCAACTGCAATTGTTACAAACAAGAATGGCAAGAAAATATGGAATTTCTTAATATCATTTGTCTGTGATGCTTGCTGGTAAGAACTTCCAAGTCTGGAGGGCACTAAAACCATCAAATTAACTGAACAAACCGGGAAATGATTCAAGTTCAGCCTTGTAGTCATCTGAACAAGTGATGTCCTGTGCTCGATGGTGTAATACTTCTTTTTGTTTAGCAAGTGCAACTTCTCTGCCATCCTTTGTTCCAAAGTATACAACTGTTAGAACCCCTAATATCAGAATGGCTCGGGTAAATACTCGCTGATATGGAAATGTTGGCATGTGCCCATATTTGCTGCAACATAACATAATATTTTACAGTGCAAAACACATGTGAAACACTACATACACTTAAGCTCATTTAATGTTACTGTTGTATTGCGTGAGTTTGTTCTGACATTTTGTACATAATGAAAAATATGATAACCTTCACTGACATGTGAAGTGTTGCATTTTTCAAGACACAGAAACAAAACACTCTCGAACATTACCTGACTTCTGAAATTTATGGTTTGAAACAAGAATACGTAATATACCTTTCCTTTTCTTTTGATTCACCTTCTTTCTCCTCCGACGTGATTTTTGACGACTTAGACTTTTCATTATTTGCGTCTTTTCTTTTTATTTGTTTACCTCTGTACTCCATTCTACACCAATTTAATTGTTACTGTCCGTGTAAGAAACTATACGTGTAATATATAGTATTAAAGTCTTTCCCGATTACTCTGTGAATACAACATAACCTCCATTACTCCTCAGGGTCACAATGTTCAATGGGGCTACACTGCATTCTGGAATAAATTAATTATAAGAGCTACCCAAGCCCAGAAAAGTTAATATTTCAAGATACAATGTCAAAACAGGAATTTCGACGTGTGCTTTTACTTCAACACCGCTGATCCTGCTGATCGCTGTTGATTATAGCCTAATTCCCTCGCTTACCATCAGATTGCAGTGAATTCAATTCCGAAATAATGGTGAGAGGCGTGCGTTTACATTGTTGTACATGATCAGCGCCACTGCACTGCACATAGAGGCGGAATTTATCAGCACCATAGTGTGCTGCCCATTGCCATTCACCGTGTCTGTTAACAGAACTATACAGTGGGTACAGCCACCAATACAAATGCATATTTAAACTCACTCTTCACTTGGAAATACATCTGTATTGTCCAAAACTAACCCTTATTACATCCCCAACAAGCTACTTGTTTGAATTGACTTGAAAGGCTTCTGACGATAGTGTATGCTGTACAGAACTGTTAGGCTTATTTTGGACCCTATCAATCATCAGTAATCTGTCAAGACGACAGGTCCACAGCCTCTTCCAACAGTTCCTCCACTTAATGCGATCTAGAGCTTTCTCCTTCAAATGAGACTTATCCTCTTCTGTCCCCAAGGTCATCCAGCATATTCTTATATAAAAAAACCACAACGTTTCGGAGACTGGATCTGTCTCCCTCCTCAGGTGGATGGGGCAGGATAAACCTACTCAGTTGGGCCTGTTACAAAGAGCTAGTCTCAATCACTGTCTTCTATATACCAGTCGATGGACAGAACCCAAAATAAGCCTAACAGTTCTGTACTTGCTTGAAGCTTACCTTTGGCATCTCTTACATCTTTGAAAATCTGTGGGTTTTTTTTTTACTTCCTTGGGTGGGGTGAGACTGAGAGCCTACTTGGTACGTCAGCCATTATTTGGCCTACTGCACCAGCCCCGCATGATGATCAATGTGCAGTTGATGGAACAAGAACTGGTAGGGGAAACCAAAGTCGGATACCTCAGCTATGGCATGGCCATTTCTTCACGTAGTTCATATCCTGATTGTAGTATCTCTGCTTGAGCAGAATATGATTTGGGTTTCCACTACATTCTTCAAACCATCATGGGTTAAAATCTCATATGTGGACACTTGCCATACAGGACCACTTTCCTAGCTTCAAAATATGAAACATTTGGACCTCCTCCTCTAAACTAGCCGAAAAAGTGACAGCACAATGTATTTTAGGATGGCGGCATTTCTTCCACAGCAGCGGAATTACTTGCACAACTAAGTGAATCACCAGAATCCATTTGTACACAAGCTGCACCTTGTGTAAGTGTAGCATAAACATATTTGGGCAAGTTATTTACAGGCATCTGGTTTTTATATAGGAAAAATTCTGTAGCAATCATCACAGATGGGCAATAGTTGACACAGTCTCAACATTTTTGCCTATTTTTGTTTAAGATTGTTGCATCTAATTTCCCTCTCACATCTAAAACACAAGAACAGTACATGCTAATAAAAGCAATCTGGTAGAAGGGAAAAAATGAGTAAACTGAAGAGATATCAATGAATGGAACTGTAATCTAAATGGGGTTGGGGCTGAAAGTGAATACGGAAACTTTCGAAGACTGCCAGAATAAAAGATAATGACAAGTGGTTAGAGGTGGGAAAATTTATATGAGAAATTAAATAAATTCAGAGGGGGAAAACTGATAAAGAGATCAACAGAAGAATACAAAATAGTTCTCAGGGATATTCCAAAACAATGCTAAATAATATATAAGGTACATTTCAAATTTTAATGCTGGAATATAGACCCATAAAGAAAAGAAACAAAAGAAAAAATCAAATCACCTGGCAGCACATAATTTTGAAGAAACATCTAAAGACAATGACCATATTTGACTGTAGTCAATTTATGAGATTTTGTACATACACAGAACAGGGAGTCAGAACTATACAGGAAGCTCAAGAGTAGAAGCCTGCCTCATGAACTTGCACATCTTTTTACTGTTGGGAAGCCCAATTTTTACATGCCACATCATCACTTCAATTGTGACTAATGTTTATGCACATAATTTTTCTGTACACACTTAATGTAATTTTAATGCATAACCATCTTATGTATAGAGATGTATAAACAATTTAAAAAACAATACAATAACAAAAAAACTCATTTACCTGTCAATCATGTCATGCATAAAAATATGAATACTGTGAATATAAGGTTAAGAAGCTTCATATACTGCAATCTATATTGATAAAATCAAGTGGACTTAATATTCCATATTCTCTCTGCTCATTATTCGTTGGGCAAGCAACTCATATCCATGCATAAATACTATCCCCCTTTCCCAGGGGCAGATTATGATTAACTCACAGAGTTCCTTAACCCTTAGTTATTAAAAGCAGATGGGTGTATATATATGTATTTGCTTGAACTCAGTTTTTTCTGTTTTGCATATCTCACAGCCTCCAGTGCTGATTCATTATGGCAGAGCTAACACAACTTACACTATGGATTCTTCGCTGCAATCAGAAAATATTACTCCCCCTTTTTTCATTGAAAATGTTTATAAAGTTATGAATCTAAAAGACATACATACATATAATTCTGTAATGGAGACATTTATTCCTTATAGTGGGTCTTCTTTTTAAGCTAAATGAATATCCAGTTTGCCTCACAATGTTTTGTGGGAAACTCCTAGTACCAAACTTCACTGAAATCTGTAAAGTAATTTCTGAGATGAAATTGAGGCCAAACATGATCTGCACATTATATATTCATTTCATGCACTTTGTGCAATGGAAATGCAAACTTAAGCATGAGAATTTTGAACATAAATAGATGCAAAAAAGACAATGTCCATTTACCTATCCTGAGAAAAATGAGATGCAACAATCAAAAGCAATATATATACAGTAGAACTTGGTTATAACGTCATCAAAGGGACCTAAAAATAGTGTCGTTATAAACGAATGTCATCGTAACCGAAATGGGCACTTCCACAGTAGCCTTATGTTAGTCACGTAAACATCTACCAAAAACAGAGTTAAAATGTTGCATTTTTTAGTGAAATACATAGTTAAGTACAGACTAACGCAACATTAACGTGGAATTGCCCAAATGTGTAATATCAAAGACATATTACAGCGCTTTTCACTGACAATACACACAATATTTCACGAATCACTTTAACTTTCTCTTCAATGCTTAAAACTTTCCTTTTCATTGCCATGTTTTCGCTACTGCACTTCTCTGGGTTTAGGCAGGAACACTATAGGGTAAGTAGACAATGTGAGGTCCTGTTAGACGAGATTCTAGGAAAGGAATGCAGTTAACAACCTTCCGCGTCCTCTTGCACTATTCACGCAGTCCCACCCCACACCCTTGTTTTCGCATAAAACCCACGCTCCTCTTGCAGCCCGCAGTCGTATTCTTCCAGGACAGTCACGTCAGCAAGTAGAGAAAGTGAGGGTGGGCAGACACATCGAACTTTCCCACGATATCAGAGAAATTCAGGAATGAAAATGACGTTACATACGAGGTTGATGCATTTGTGCATGTCGTACTAAGCAAGGTATAAAAACAGTTGCTTTATGAGGAATTAGTTCGTACCATTGAATATTTGACGCAATAGACAAGGTGTCGCAGAAACCGATGTTGCTATAACCAAGTTTTACTGTACATTAAACAATTCTAATTATGTATGTAATAACTTGCCTTTGGAAATACTTCAGAAAATTTTAAAATTTCATAAAAATCACAGAAATATATAAAATTCCATCGTGTTAGCTGGCAGGTTTGATCAAACAAAATCACAAACAATTTGTGGTAAGATTGATAATGAATCAAATCACTTAACTGATGTTACATCAATTCATATGTGAATTAGCCTGCCAAGAATCAGTTTTATTTATTATCATTATACCATACAAAGTAAAATAACCAAAATCCTTACAGCAAATGGTTTTACAGACTCTACCTTCATTCACCAATGGCTCCATGCAGCTTTGGTGTTCTTACCCTATCCAGTCAGCACACCTTCCACTCATATTTTACTTCTCTAAAATAATATTCCTAGATTATGCTATTTTTTAAAACAAAAATGTAAGTATACACACTGGTTTAGTATGAGTTTCTTATTTTGCTTTGGAACGTTACAGTCTTAATTTCCGGGCAAATCCCAAGTTAAAATGGCCATAAATTTAGTTGGGCATTCAATAAACACAATGTATGAATGTCATGATTAAATTATCACACAGATTACATTAGCTTGTCCATACTATACTGTGCTCAGTCTTCCAGGCATACAATTTTTAAACTGATAACTTAAACAATCTTACAAATATGCAAGCAAAATTTCACTCATGCATCAGTTGGCCATCATACGTAGCTTGATATAAAATAAGTTTCTCTCTCCACAGCAGTAACACATGCTCTAATCAAACACCTAACATCCTTTAGTAAGTGTAAATATTTATGCTCCAAATATTAATCACTTATTTAAGATACAGAGTGGTATTACTATATATTCAATAAAGTGCTTAGCAACCCCATTAATTTCTCTGAAACGGCAACAAAATAAGAGATAAATCTTTAATTTGGAATATGGGACACAAAAATTTTAAGGTGTACAGGAAACAGGGGAGTGAATGTGAGTAATATACTCTGCTTTCTATCAAAATATGGTTGCCATGTTCCTTGGGGATTACTGTCAACTTATCCTGTAAGGAACTATCAGCAGTTTATATGGAAGATCAGACTCATTCTGTAATGTTTCCTCAAATATAATTAATATCAATCAAGACATAGCATAAATCACCACTATTAAAATAATCATTACACCATATCAGACATAAAACAAACATCAGAAGTAACAAAAATATAACTGATACTGCAGGATGTCAGAACTCTCATATGTACATTTATACTTCAATGGTGTCAAGTTTGGGGTTAAACAGAATGCTGGGCTCCAATATTCCATGGCTGGTCTGTATATTAAACCAACCACAAATGTAACACATGCAATCTGAAACGCCAAGAGTATTAAGTCTTTATAAAAATGACCTGAAAATTGATGTAGAATGCAAAAGTGAAACTGGGCAGCTACTGTAGCCACATGCAAATGCACGCACGCACACACAAACACACACCTGACAACCCTCTCCATTCAACAGATATTGCAGTGCCTACAGAAAACTGCATTTTCATAGTGGATGCTTTGAGCAAGAGTATCTATGCAGTCAAGATACTAAACACTATGCCAACTTACAGGTATCTTCTTACATAAGTCATTGCTGTTAGTTTCCTCATTATGGCTGTTCAACAAATGGCAAACATGTACCTACGCATACAGCTGAGGCACACTGCTTGAAAGACCGATCCTCTGCTTACCATTATTTAATTTAACCATCATATACTAGTAGTTATGTACAAATCAGAAATATGTATCATTTATGTACAAAATTGTGAATTATTTGTAAACAAATCATTTTATTCTTTTCCTACAATACTGATGGATAGGGTAAGTTTCCCATATTGAATCCAAAGGCAATAATTTTGTTTTGTTTTTTTGGGGGGGGGAAGAGAAAAGGGGGAGAGAGACAAATTAAAATGGAGGAAAATAGGATCATGCTAACTACATATAAATATGTGATTTTTATTTTCATTGACCAGACAAATTAAAAAAGGATCCAAATGTAACCCTCTTTCCCTGTCAGGTAGGTTTGTTTCCATTTTGGTCATATTTTGCCACTCACTCACACATGTATTTGTTCCTTGCTATGAAGTTGCATGCACACAAACACACGCTCCTTATGGGCCACACGAAATCATATGCCTCTATGGATAAAGTTCTTTCCCGGGAGTACTTTAATCGACCCTCACATGTAAAGTCACAATCCTTTGTTACAATTTGAATCTGTTTACTGAGCTACAACAATAAGGGCAACTAAGGGCAAAAGCATGCGGAGTTACCACCATATCAACCACTCAAACAAGTGGTACTTAGTTCCAGTAACCAAATGTTACTGCTGCTGCTACAACACAGAAACTGCACTTTTATCCTTTGTTTTTTCAACCAGTATATGCACTGTCAGATCCTTGCTGTAACCCTTATTTTGACGATCCAACAAAGTTCAAGGGAAGCAGTCAGATGGAGGCATAAAATATTGTTTCAAAGGAGAGTACTGAACAAATGCACAGATCATTCCTCTTCGTCCCAAAGCATTCTCAGAATTCTTACATTTTTCTAACTTCAAGATATATGCCATGGTTATCTGATGTGCAAAGTTCCAGTTTATGTAACAGGGGCACAGCTGACCACAGACCTGAAATAATAATGTCTTCAGTTCATTTCAAGAAATGCAGAATCTACGCTAACTGCCAAGATGCCTGCTATAACCTTTCACAAACCTGAGCTCAGTTGTAGATCTTGATAGCCTTCTCTAAATAGTTGAACCGGGAACGCTTTGGAGCCTTATTGACATGCTCTAAGCCCAACCAAGGCCTTGGTGTATTACTCCCTGTAACATGGCAATAATTATAATGTAGAAATGACATTTTTGTTCTGGGTTCATAATAAATAAAACTGTAGAGTGGTATGTATTAAAAGAGCAAAGAGAAATTTTGAATGGTAATTAAGTGTACAAACTAAACACTCCATTATAAGCCTTATCATGTGAGTTTCCTACAACTACAGTGCAACCATACAGTGAGAATTCATAAAATCAGTAAAAGTGCTAGTTGTAAGGCATAAATACTTCATATACATAATCTAGACCTCTCTCCCCTCACTTCTTTTCTTTATTTTCTTTTTTTTTTATTGGCGCTACAGCCCTCATTTGGGCCTAGGCCTACCTCCATGAAACTCTCCGTTTCACTTCGGTTTACTATATCTTAGACATATGGTAGGACTCCTTGGGCGGGTGATCAGCTCGTTGCAAGGCCTCTACCTGTACACAAACACAGAAAAACGCACACACACAAACTAAACATCCATGCCCTGAGTGGGATTAGAACCCACGATCTCGGTTTCCAAGCGAGCGAAGACAGTGCATTCCTTAGACCGCTCGGCAACACAAAGGCCTACACATTTCTGTGTACATCCCAGGTGTAACTTAATAAATATTCATCACAGCAAAAATGTTTCAAACAAAGGATGCAGAGAAAAACAAAAACATATTTATGCAATACACACACACTGTGTAAGCCATACAGGTTTTGGGTTAATTGGACAAAAGAGAACACATCAGAATTAGTACACTGTGTATATTTCCTAATGTCTCTGACATGATTATCATTAACTGAACATTCTTACTATATCTAACAATTTAAATTATCCTCCCGATGATACAGGCCTGTTTTCTTCAAAGAGTTTGGAAAGCAAGTAAGGACAAAATGCTATGGGAGAAACAGCAGTCCCCTGTTATGACAAAATTGCTGGAAAGACGTTCTTGCTTTATGAGTTATCCAAGAAACTGATGGTGTTGCTATAATCAGACTTTTGTTACAAATCACGCTCATTTTATCATGGGTATACTGTATACACTACAGTATCACATAATTATTCTTTAACAAATCATGAAGTTCTAAAACTAATATTATCAACCCCACCTTGATTTTGATGGTTTCTGAATTCTTGTAAATTCATGTAGAATTCAGATTCTTCATTGATAAACTGTGGTCTTCCCACTAACACAAGGGCAAACTTAAACTGTAAAAGAGAACGCAATAATTATTTAAACATGAAACAAATCTTGGCATGTTAAGTTTCAGCTCATGTCCCTTACACAACAGAGCTACAACTTTAACAACTACCAAGTGACTTTATGAAAAACATAACTTAAAAAACCCAAATGAATTTCCACTCCACATTTTTATCTGAACTGTATGATTTAATATAGCTACATTTGGCTACATCATACAAGGATAATACAGCAAAGAATAACAATACATGATTTCACATAATATGGCTTCTTTAAAGATGTGCAATTTCTTGACTTCTTGACACTTCAGATCTGAAGTATCAGCTATAGGTAGCACACCATGAATTTAATTGGCACACCAAAGGGTTATATACAGTAGGCAAGTATGTGCATGTTGAATGGGCAAGCAAACAGAACACATGTAAATTACACTTTACAAAAAACATTCATTGTTCACGTGCCCATACAGCACAATAAACTTTAAGCTACAATTCCATGCACTAACCTTTTCAAATTCTTTTTCTTGTATGCCTAATTTCTTCAGTAATCTATCTTTTACTTTTGAGAAGGGCTCTCCCTGCAACCAAACACAAAAATTACAATTCTTAAAATTAATTTATTTCATATTTCACTAACCAGCATTACACTGTATTAATACTTAAAGATATGGTGCCTATTCAACACAGGAATTGAACTGTAAAACTTCACACTTCATTGAAAATGTGCAAATTGGATAATGGTTATAGTAGACACCAAAATTTTACAGGAATTACAAATGTGTACATACGTGAACAAATGCAAAGATAATGGTTTCAACACAACAATATGCATTCAGATAGGTTAAGGTTCATGCTCAGACCTCACACTCACTTGTTTCACTTTTATGAAGAAAGGAATTCCAAATGCAGCGAAGACATCCTTGTGAAAGTGGGCAACTGGAATCAACATTTCATCATCTGCCAAGTTCAACTCATCTCGTGGGATTTCCTCTATCCTATACAATATAACAAATGTAATATAGTGTATAATCACATCATTTTATAACGTTACAAATTTAAATTATCTGTTTACCTCTACACTGCTGATGAATGAAACACTGACATGGGGAGAGACCATTAGTTTCAATACTTCAAATAGTCGGAAGAACAGTTCTATGCTAGAACAAGCAAATATATATATATATGACTAAAGGAATACATCAAATACAGTGAAAAATCTGTCACAAAGCAAATTCCTGGTTTCTAAATACATTTTCATTGGATGTAACCATGACTATCATCACTAGATTTACATAAGTATTTCTTCAAAAGCAAATATTGCTAATTCCTTTCATATTTCATAATTCTCCCTTCCATCTCCTCTAGATGTTCCTGCAATAGGAAAGGTCAATATTCTGGGAGGTCACAGCATCAGTCGGTCTAAGTAAAGAAGTGTATATGTACATGTTCTATTCTGAACAGTTTCTGAGGTAGAGTTATTTTACTGTACAGCAGTTCTCACCTGCATAAAGGTATGTCAAGATACACTCATATGAACAACATGCCATGTCCTCACATGAGCTATGAGTGCACTGATGCCGAGTCTATGGAATTTTCGAAAATGTAGTACTGACTTTGTCACTAGATCAATAAATACCATATTAGAAACAATATTTAGTAAGTAGTTACTATAGGATTCTGACGATGGTGTATAACACACTGATATATTGGATTTCTGGACTTTATCCACTGTCCTGGTTTTTAAGATAACAAATAAATCCAGTGATTGAGGCTAGCTCTTTCTAATGGACCCAACAGAATAGGTGTTTCCCTTTTCCTTCACCTGAGGATGGAAACAGATCCAGTTTCCGAAACGTCGTGTTTTTATTTGTTATCTTAAAAACCAGGACGATGGATAAAGTCCAGAAATCCAATATATCAGTGGGAATATTTAGTAACTCTTACTTATCAACAATTTTGGAACTGTACAGTGAAATAGCTCTATCTCGGAAAATGTTCAGGATGGGACATATGTATATATACCATTGCTTAGAATGACCGAAACTATGACCTCCCAGAATACTGACCTTTCCTCTTGGAACACCTTGTACATCTCAAAACTCTCCTCTTGGTTATGCAAAGTCTAAGGAAACAGCTCACAGCACTAAACATAAACACACAAACTAGACCTATGGAATAAGCAACAACATGAACAATGCAGAGAAACAATTTTATGAATTCCCCAGGCACCCAGTAGAACAAAATATAATTATTATATTGCTAGACTGCTGGTGGTATGGCAAGAGAAAAAATTTCATGACAGAAATGGAGGGATATGTAAATTCCAATGCTGACAGAATTTCTTATAAAAACTGAAGATATCATAAGTTAGAATGAGACTTTTTTATCATAAAACATGAATTATTAACTGGTAACTCCGGTATGGGTTTCTATGTTAAGAGGAAGTACAAATCATACGTTCTAAAACCTTCTCCCAGAACAATGAGCATTTTCTCACCACTTTTACACTCTCACAAATTTCAAATATGTCATCGCAATCAGAAACAATATAAAAATGGTATCACCTACATAAAATTTTAAATTGTACAGTGACCCACAGTTTATCAAAACGTGGAAAATGTACACATGTCAACATGAATGCATAATATATATGAGACAAACTCCGTCTTAAGTGCAACAATTTAATTGTAGTTCTTTCTTCTTCCCTTCCTCCACACTACATGTTTCGGCCCCAAATGGCCATCATCAGGTGTGTATTCTTACGTAGCTGCTACACTGCCCGTAGTTTAAAATTTAAGATCACCAGTCTTTCCAATTGTATGTATGTATAAAACCTTTGTTATTAAAAGATAAGCAGCGACACACACAGAGAGAGCCTCCACATAATACCTGAACAGCGATAAAACAAGAAGTGGCCGCTGCACCACTATAGACATAGGGCGTGTACCCCGAGAAAATTTTAATTTTTAAAAATTTGGAAAGAGAAAAAGAACAGAAAATTTATAGACATTTTAATTTGAATTGAAGTTTTAAAAAAGTGCTAATTTTAGAAATCAAATTGACGCGTGTAGGTTAACAAAGATTTTATACATACATACACTTGGAAAGACTGGTGATCTTAAATTTTAAACTACGGGCAGTGTAGCAGCTACGTAAGAATACACATCTGATGATGGCCATTTAGGGCTGAAACATGTAGTGTGGAGGAACGGAAGAAGAAAGAACTACAATTAAATTGTTGCACTTAAGACGGAGTTTGTCTCATATATATTGTGTGAGTGTAACAGGATGCTTAAATATAATATGAATGCATAAATCACAAAAGCTAGATTTCACATTCCGTATCATTCAATATTGATATGTTTCAATTTAGCAAAGCTTCATCATGAATTTTATGACTAAAGGGATAAAACTAATTGGAAAAGGATGAGTCAGATTCCTGTGTAGCTTTCTGGCATCTCGCTGTGCTCAGGGGCCAGACAATAGGTTAATATGAATACATCAAATGAAGTATATGACAAACAAGTCCCATGAATTCAAAGGTGACATATATGCCCGTAGATGCACCAACTACCAATACCACGAAACTGTAACTGCAGATCATGTTACTGCATTACCTGATCTAACTTCTGACCAAATCATAGCATTAACAGAGGACAGCATACATTGCATTATTTGATACACATTTTCAGCAATATCACTTCTTCAAATTTCCAAGAGTCGGTAGATTTTGAAGTAACAATTCGCCAAATAGAAATTTTACTATATTTACAAGAAAACTTGTGAAAGAAAATGCCTTGTAACTGACTGTTAATGCAGAAGTTCGTGAATGATGTCAACCACAAGAGAAAACTTCATATTTTGTTGTTGTCAGTATCTAAGCTTACAATGTATCAAGTGGTAAAAACACTTGATGTACTGGAAACGAAGCAGTTGAAGCGTAAGTAAGGTACTATCCTGGTAGGTTCTTGGAGGGACTGAGAAAGCCACAAGAAACCTCAGTCAAAATAACCAGTGTCTGGCCTAAGATCTGAGCTTAGAACCTCAAAAATACAAGCCCAAGCGTAAGTAAGGTACTATCCTGGTAGGTTCTTGGAGGGACTGAGAAAGCCACAAGAAACCTCAGTCAAAATAACCAGTGTCTGGCCTAAGATCTGAGCTTAGAACCTCAAAAATACAAGCCCAAGCGTAAGTAAGGTACTATCCTGGTAGGTTCTTGGAGGGACTGAGAAAGCCACAAGAAACCTCAGTCAAAATAACCAGTGTCTGGCCTAAGATCTGAGCTTAGAACCTCAAAAATACAAGCCCACGGTGTAACTGTTGAACAATATGCTCAGTAAAATCTCATGGAACCTACAACTTTTATGCAGAACTTATTTTTTTCACATGCCGTAAGTAAACGGAGCTGAAACAGCTCAGTCAGTATAGCAACTAGGTTACAAGCTGGAAGACTGTGGAACCAGGATTCAATTCCCAGTAGGAACAAGATTTTTCTCCATAATGTCCAGACTGGCTGTGGGGCCCCGAATCTCCTATACAATGGGTACTGGCCCTGTTCTCCCTTCAGGGGAGAAGGGGAGTAAATCAGCAGGGGGTGTGAAACTGATTAAGCACATAAGTTTCCAGTGGGTGGAGCTTTCATGTTAACAGCTAAATTCAATTGTCATCTTCCTCCAACTAGGATTCNGCAAGAGATTTTTCTTTTCTCCATAATGTCCAGACTGGCTGTGGGGCCCCGAATCTCCTATACAATGGGTACTGGCCCTGTTCTCCCTTCAGGGGGGAAGGGGAGTAAATCAGCAGGGGGTGTGAAACTGATTAAGCACATAAGTTTCCAGTGGGTGGAGCTTTCATGTTAACAGCTAAATTCAATTGTCATCTTCCTCCAACTAGGATTCAGCTGTTACTGTCCAATTTGAGAAACCTTCAACAGGAATTTGAGTGATTTCCAGCATGTAATTGGGAAACAAATCTTTTTGTTATTGGGTTTTCGGACTTTGTCCATCGTCCTGGTTTTAAGATAACTAAGAAAAACACGACATTTCGGAAACTGGATCTGTTTCCGTCACTGGACCGGTGACTGAGGCTAGCTCTTTCTAAGGGACCCAACAGAATAGGTGTTTTCCATCACCTGAGAACCTCTTAGTTACCACGACGATGGATAAAGTCCAAAAACCAAATATCTCTGTGTGTTATACACCATCGTCAGAATCCTATAGTAACTAAATCTTTTTGTGTAAAGACAGATGCTTCCACAGTAAAGTAACATACAAACTCACCTATAGCTTTTTGGGGTACCAGTGTTCAATGATTCCAGTGTTGCATCTTCCCTAGGTCCATATGCTATTTTACTGCAAGTAATTTCAAATATCCTGAAACAGAGAGTGATATGTTACAGTTGTTATACCGGTTCAAAGTCACCTAGATATCATACGTAGACAGAATTCTCTTCAATGTGGAACTGTACCTAAGTTTCCCTGAGCCATTCTCTGAAAGCTCAACTTGCTTCCTGGCTTCTTCCAAGAGATCTGCTACTGTGCCATTCTTGTTAGGATAAAGGATCAGTTCTTTCTCCTCCTTCAGCTTTGGACCCACCCAGATACACTGCAATATAAATTAGTGTTTGTCAAAATAAAATTGGAATACACAAAAGAAAACCAAACAATTTCCATGCTCATATTGTTGACTTGGCTGACAGTCACAGATCACAGAATAGATGATAATTTTATGGGTTCTTCCTTCCATACTAAGAAGTGTTACTAAGATAAACAACATTCTAAACTGTGTTCAATTAAGAAGAAAGCAGTCTTTTGGGATTTGGCACCGTGTACAAGCGGTGTTAACCGACGTTTCGGAGGAAAGTATCGCCTCCATCTTCAGGGTAGAAGAAAATATAAGACTTCTGCAAGCGAAAAGACCGTGAGAACCGTTAAAGCAGACTGAGGCGATACGTTCCTCCGAAACGTCGGTTAACACCACTTATACACGGTGCCAAATCCCAAAACTGCTTTCTTCATAGTCACCGCCGTGAAAGCCTCAAATCTTACATGTGTTCAATTACTTCACCTTCTCTGATATAGCACAGTTACCACTCTTCTATAAAAATTTGGGAATCACTTATGATAAAAGTGCCAAAAATTGACCCCCTTTCATCTTATGTCTCCCACATATGTAATTATAAGATAGTTGACAATTTGAATGGCTTCTATTGCCCTAATAAAGTCCTCATTATAGGCCACACCCATTCTACTGGGGTTTCACTGAATATGCACTATTACCTGGAGTTTCATGTTTCCTGTTTCTGTTTAACAGTTGTGTCACTTGGTTTGTTATTTGAAAAATATATTAATCTAAGTTCCTTCAGAAAAACCAAATATACTACTATATACAAAATTTGAGTGGAGAAAACCTTTGCTCAACAAACCATTTGAAACATCAATGTATGTGTCTAACTGCTCTATACCTGACGTAACACAAACTGCATATATATATTACACTTCTTGGATCCAAAATAGTCAAAAATGATAATAAGATGTGGAATTAAGTGATAAAAAATATAAGACTTGCATCAAGTAGGTCAAATGGTGTGCTTTAGTTCTGGTAAACATTAATCCCTACTTAAATTAAGCTACTAAACAGATAAATCAAAACATACCATATTACTTTGAATATAAGACACACGTTTTACACATTTCTTCCCACTGAAATATTGAGGGGCATCTTAAATTCGGGAAACTTGCACCTTCATAATTTCTTTCCTAAACCCACGTTAAAAATTGAATGCATCTTCAATCTGAATTATTATTATTATTATTAATTACTACTATTATCATTATTTTTATTAATTTCATTATTATTATTATTATTATTNATTTTTTGTATTTCTCTATTCGTGCTAGTTTTGTAATTGGCCTCTGCGCTGTTAAGTTTGCACGTAAATAAACATGAATTCAAATGAATTGAATAAAGTACACAAGGGGATTACTGCAATAAGTAGGTGATCTGAATCCATCCAGTTAGCTTACTAATCCAAGAAAAACTTCTACCTTAAACTGCCTCTTATTTTCCAACTCGTTGATTCGTATACTCAGCTGCTGGTAAAACATCTTCTTCGGTGTTTTTGGTTTACAATATACTAGTAAGTCTTTCAATGTTCCTTCATATGTGCATCGGAGGGGGTGGCCTGGACTGTCCTTGTAACTGTTGACATAAAAACACATGACTATAGTAGCATTTGTAATGAAGTTTATTTATAAACAAAATAACAGAAAACCTGTAAGATATTCTCAATAATTCAATATATTCACATACTAGAATAAGACATTTATACTATGTGATTATCTAATAAACTATTTCAACAGAGGGGAATCCCTTTTGTGAAGCTGACAGTTGTTCAGCTGCTAAAATATGTGCATAGTTTTAATATATGGACAGGATGGAGAGGAGTTTCCTGGAGAAAGATTCTGGCTATATTACAATACTGGATTGGAGCCTATAAATTAGGGCAATACAAATGAAAATTGTTAACACTCCATTTGTGCAGGTCCATAACGATTAGTCAAAAACAAAAGCCACAGACAAATAAGAACTATGGCAGTTATATTGGAGAATGTTTGAATCCCCTTCTCTGTATTCTGTTACGAGTGCCTGGGTGGTCTGTCAGCAAGTCATGTGTGTGAGATGGAGTACTGGCAATACCTGAGCCAACTGTTTCTTCTGGGTAACAGAATGAGGCTGGAAAACAAGACTGTTCCATGTGCGCAGACAAGAAGCTGTTTCCTATGTTTCTGCTACATATGCTGGGGACTGATATGCAACAGTATTTTTACACCAGGCACTGCAAAGCTGGTTAATCATCAGGAGGGTGGAGAGTAAGAAAGTAAAACGTGTTACTCAGGATGGGGTTCTGCATAAACTGTATTTTCTCTGAAGATGGATAGCTACAGTGTGGGTTGTTGCATTAATTCCATTAAAGTGGCAAAGTGCTAATGCACAGGACTGAAACCCAGTCTAAAGTCTGCTTTCTAGCAATTTCTTGAATGGTCTTTGTTGATTCAAAGTTCCCAGTTGCCCATCTTGTCTAGGAGAATGGAACAGTTCTCATCACTGGGTGGGAGGATTCCAGAGCAGTTCATATAGTACAACAGTAAGAATATGATGGCTTGTCATGCCCATTTTGCCACAAACATCACAGATAAAGCTCAATATGCATCATTTCTCTAAATCACCAAATCTGTGACAACAAAACCATCACACTGGGTTTGAAATGAATAGCTGCAATGCACTAGTGCCTAGTTTTATAAACTATAAGAGTAAAAAAATTCAGTTTTGTTTCTCAGAATTTCTGAATATTCATCTGAATCTCTTCAATGACTTCCAGGATTTTCCTCACCCTCAGTAACTCTTCATATTAGGAGACAACAGAAAAGCCGGGTTTTAGTTAATGCATTCACCACTTGATATATACCCTTAATGACCTGCTAAATCGGTATGGCCAGGTTGACAAATTTATCCAATTCGGAGTTAGTTGTTTCATTCAAGTATCATCCGAGGACCAAAGAGAGTAAAACTCAACTGGCCAACACGAAGAATACACGGTGCCTAAACCCAGAAGACGACTCTCTTCAGAGTAAAACTTGTTTACACTTTCTAATAGCCACTAAGGTATCTAATAAGATATTTCAATTAACATACTTCTGACATTTGAAGAACTGTAAAAGGTAAGGATCTGTGCCAACTCTCTGTGCCACAGCATGCGCCATCTGATCATACGTCATTCTCTGTGATAGGTCAATCGTGAAACCAGGATCATTAGGAATCATTTTATCACAGAACGTAACCTCCACTCTGTAGAACAAATCCCTGCAACAAGAAATGAGTAACTTACGTAACACAAGAATTTTAACCGTACTATGGTTGAACCTTTTAATATTTCACATTTTTCCGATGTCTGGCATTTAAAAAAAAAAAACCTCAATTTCCTCTGACGTATATGTCACAAGAGAAACACATCTGCACTTGCACATGCCATGTCCTATGACTACAACATCTTATATTTGCTTTTTTGGGCATCAGATGCTAGTATTATGGCAAAGGTGATAACTACATAATCAAATATGGCCTAAATGGCAATGACACTACACTGCACAACAGAAGCACGGTGTTTCTGAATGGAAGATGACTTCAAATCTACATAGACTATATTAACTCTTAGTAACATCACTGGTTCTACAATGTACAGATTGTGTGTTACTCTAAAAAAAAATGGGTACTGGAGTCTTCTTAAGTCTGATTTTTCCGCGGCGGCCCGGGTTCGATCCCGTGTCTGGTCAAGTGGGATTTGTGGTGGACAAAGTGGCGCTGGGGCAGGTTTTCTCCGAGTACTTCGGTTTCCCCCGCCAATCTTCATTCCACGAACTACTCCACAATCACCCTCACCTATCATCTGGTGCTGGTACAATAGGCCACAAGTGGCCGCAGTACAATGGACTTAGTCCCACCCCACTAGCATTAAAAAGAAAGTCTGATATTTTATAAAGTTACTTCATAAATGAGACTTTACTGGAAATGAATCAATCTCAGCTGTTAAATTAACGTTACTCACTCATGGAGCTGGGCCCTTCTTGAGAAGCCACCAACTGTGCAGCTACTCATGAATTTCACAGCATTTTATGCAACACGAAGGATCATTACTATGTTCACAAGAGCCCTCCACTGGTCCAGATCCTGAGCCTGATCAATCCAATCCACCCCATCCCATCTCTCTAAGATCCATTTTAATATTGGTCACCAACTTACACCTTGGTGTTTCCAGTTAACATTACTAGTACTACAAAACCAAACCTCCAGTGAAGGTCTCTGTGGATGGCAGCTGATTTGAACACTTAAACTGAGGGAAACTTTAAATTGAGGAAACTTAGCACTGAGATGGGAGAACTGAAACTGAATGTTTTATTTAACATTCAGTGGCATTATTAAATTTTAATTGAGGAAACACTTCACCTGATGGGCATTAACTGGAGATTTCACTATACAAACACAGTTGTACTGGTACATTAGTCATTTCTTGTCCATAAAACTGTATTAGCTACGATGTCTTTGCCTAAAAAATTTTATAGCAGCAAGAAGAGGGTATCTGCATTTAAATAAAATGTGTACATATTTCCAGCACTTTTTGAAATGCTTATGCACGCACTGAAATCTAATGCCTTGGTATCCCATCCATATTTCAACATACATTATTCACTCACCTGAAATAATCTCGACATGTTGGCAGTTCATACATGTCATCTCGTTCATCCTTCTGGAACACTATGATATCACCATCCATCAGTTCTTCAAGTACTTTCTCTAGGGGCTCATTGTAGTTTTCAATTCGCTCGACCATATTAGGCTTTATTTCCTCATAAAGTATCAAGTCTGTATCTGGCGGAAAGCCTGCCCGCTCATTTAGTAGAGGAATGAGTTCCTCTGTAACACAGCCCCATACATTCCGATCAACTGTTGCACAATTTCAGAGAAATATGAAGATATCTGTAACTTTTCTAAACATAATGTCCTATCTTGGCATGTCATTAGCGATGACTACTGGCTAAACAAATTCACTCTTACAATACCATATGCTACATGCTATACAAGCCTGTATGGAGTGCTGTTCAGTGATAACATGCAGAAGATGGCAGAAACAATACAGAATTTAAAAAATTCACATTTGGAGCGCACTGTTAATCATTATAGTCTACACTGATTACTGGCAACACAATAATGCCACTGCTCAATATTATTAAAATGTATTTCTTACAGTTTCAACTTGAGCTACAAAACCAGCACATTAAATCCAGTTTCGAACTTGCATAACAAACGATCCCACCAAAGTCTGGAACAATTATACTAAATAACAGAAATCTCAGTCACAATTAATTATAATGAATATAAGAATTAAGGTCTTCACGGGGGTCACTATGAAGAAAGCAGTCTTCTGGGATGTGGCACCGTGTAGATATTGTGTTAATCGACGTTTCAGAGGAACATATCGCCTCCATCTTCAGGATAGAAAAAAGAAAATCCGTGATCTACCCTGAAGATGGAGGCGATGTTTGTCCGAAACGTCAGTTAACACAATATCTACACGGTGCCACATCCCGGAAGACTTGCTTTCTTCAATTATAATGATATTCACTTGAGCTGAGGGGATGGAATTTAAAAATTAATAACAATCTTGCGAGACATAATATTCAACTTTCAAGATGCTTGCTGCTACTTACGGACTTTGGCTGCAACAGGCATATAAAGGTGACCACAATAGTGTACTCGCTTTGTCTTTGGGTCATACAACTTGAAGAACAGCAGAACATCAGAATCCTTATCAAATGGTGGAAGAGCCTGTAAACCTGAATCTGGGGGTACCACCTCTACAAATATGTTCCACGGATTCTGGTTTTCTGCGACATCCAGTACTGGTTTGTGCAGGTCAGTTTCGAGGTCAATTAGGGTTGGGCGGCATGTCTGGTTTGATCGATAACCAAATGGCCATGGCCTAATTTGTTCAATAGGGTATTTCTGTAATACAAGTAGCACAATATCAAAAACCTGAACAAGAATGGTATATATATACATTTCATTACTACAGCTCTAAAGAACTCCTAGTAATTTCTCCTTACTGACAAATACCACTGCACAAAAAGACTGCAGTCTCGGCTAAATGGCAGAAAAATTTACTGGTTCATGCTATATTTGAATATTTAGAAAGAAAGCTTAAAAATTGCATCTGAGAACTGAAATTCAAATATATAAACGATACGTGTACCACATTTCTGCATCAGTATTGGAAATATTAAAGCTATGACTCTGTATATGTTGTTTATTCTTATCTTTGTTCTTATGATTATGAGCTTTATTTTGTGATGCTTTTTTTAGTTTTTTCTGTGTGTGAGGGATCGTTGGGCCTGTCTATTTTGGTTTCTATGATTCGTGGTTTTGGTAATGATTTTTTTCAGTCTTACAGAGTCTTGCAATGTTAAGGTTTTTATTTCCTNATGTAGTGTAGAGGAAGGAAAGAAGAAAGAACTACAATTAAATTGTTGCACTTAAGATGGAGTTTGTCTCATATATTGTGTGAGTGTAACAGGATACTTAAATATAATACTATGACTCTGTATTAATGATAGGATATTGGAACATATCAGAAGTTTTAATCATCAGAGACATAACATATCCTACGAAGCAGAAAAGGATTTAACTATAAAAATTGTAAATTTTGTCAAAATACTACAAATTACTAAACATATTTTCAAATCATTATTCATTTCTAGGCATACAAGAATAAAAATTTATAATTTACTTGTTACATCATCACTAACATATGGCAGTGAATCATGGACAATAAGAACTGATGACAGAAAACTTATGGCAAGCGTGCTTTGTGAAGAGGACTGCGGAATACATTCTTTCAGATCACAAAATAAATTAACCTTTAAGTGACGGCCCTTTAAAATTGCAGTAATGGCAGCGGGACGGATTTGATTTAAATACCCACAATTTTAAAGCAATAAAAACTGTAATCATTTCCTGAAATTGCTGTGATTTCTACAATTTTTGTGATAAACGAACCAAATAAATTCTTTTTTCTAGAAAGAATATAGAATCAGATACTGTAATTTACAGACTTTATTAAATGTCTAAAAATTTTTAAGACTGATTACAAGTATAAAATTCCCAAATTTGTCTGTCTACAAGAATTCATATAGTTCTTGGAACTAAGAATGCTCTATGTAGATGTGGCAACATAGTGGATGGTTATGCAGACGTGTTTTGTCTTGCATGTCTTGAAGCTTATACACGTAGTACCTTCTTTAGGAATGTTGAGATGAGGGGCGAGTATCTCTTCGTTTATAAGAACGTTGATTGTTTATACACAAGTTCTTTGTACTGACCCTGCTCAGTTAGTTTATCACAACTCTCAAGGCTATCGTCTTTATACCACAGCCTAGCAGTGTCATCAAGCTTCAAAGTTTTGAAGTGAGAACGGTGATATTGTCAGCTCACCATGGCGTGGTCTCGTTTGGAAGATTCAGACATTTCTCAACTCATAAATGACTCCGAATCAGATTGTTTTACCGACAATTCTGAGAGTGGCGTTGAGGAAACTGATTCAGAAATGGATTTCGATGAAGACCCATCATCTTCATCAGCAACCTGGGGACCACCACACCAGCATGGCAAGAGGAGTGTGAATAATTATTCAGGTGGAGCTGTGGGCAAACTGTGGCAAACAGTTATAGCATCTGTCGTCGAACCTGGAAATGGACAAATAAACTATTTTTCCATCTCCTGGATCTGAACAGTTACATCCTGTTGTCACACAGAGAATTTCGTCTCGCTCTTGTGCGGAACATGCTGGAAGGGGTCCACCTCGCCATCAACGGCCCAGGGGTCGAACCCCTGCCGTTTCATCGGAGATATCTCAATTAGAGAAGGCCAAACCACATCACTGGCAAACTTCCTCTACTTCGCAATTGAGGTGTCGTGTGTTTTTCGCGTGGGAAACGAAGAACCGTCCGGACAAAGTGCGTGAAGTGTGACATCAGACTCTGGATTTCCGGATGTTTCCAAGATTTCCACACGAAGCCAACATTCCGTTAGATGACGCAGGTGGGAAGAGAGACAACTTATAAAGATGGTGACCAAAAATCATGTAAGTAGAAAAAGAATTTATAACTTAAAATTAGATTTTAAAAAGACGGCCGCACGCGTGGACTGCGCGACGACATATGGCGTCATTCGTCCCCTTGACTTTATTTTAATGACGCCAAATGGCGTCGCTCGGCTCTTAAAGGTTAATAATGAGACAGCTACAAATTCTTTAAACAACAGAATTCAAGAACAACACTAAAGAAAACATTACAAACACACTGACAGTATGAGCTCTGACAAAATCCCTGAAAGTATCTCAGAATATGAAATTAAAAGGAGAGTAAGTTTAAAAAAAAACTTAAATTATGAGAGGGTTCTGTCCAGTAACACTCTTAGCAGCCCTTAATACACTTCCCACACCTAATACTGGCGAGAATGACAACAACGTTTCCAGGTTTCCAATTTCTGTGCAGTGTTTACAATCCTACACTGAAATTATATAAATGAAACATATACACAAATTTCTCAGTGTGGTGGGAAAATTTTAATACTCACAACTAAGATGAACAGATGGTGGAAGGTAAATATTCGCGGGATAATCCTTTTGCTACTTATTTTTGGTTCCATCACATATTCCCAACTTACAAAATGAACAACCAAAGGCTACATTTCATGATGAAGTAACTAATTTGAGAAAAGAAGTAGCTACTAAAAAGTTATTCAAGAGAGCCTAATCTAGAATATTAACTAATTCCAGTACACCATGAAGCAGATTCATCCATGAGATGATGATAGACGATTAGCTGATTAAATTCCCCAAATTTTATGGAACCCAAAGGTTCATGACTGTGTCCATGCCCTGGGCCAGATGAATCCAGTTCAGGTCCTCACTCTTTCTTTCTTTAAACATATATTTTAATATTATCCTCCAAATATATGCCTACATCTGACGTGTCTCTTTCCTTCAGGTTTTCTGGCTAAATTTTGTAGGTATTTCTGATCATTTCCCACTCATTTCATCCTTCTTCATTTGCTCACTTTAATATTTTGTGAAGAGTACATACTATGGAGCTCCTCATTATGCAAGTTCCTATTATGAAAAAAATTAGCATTCCATGATATAAGTGTCAAATTTGTAATACAAATTTGGAATTCTACAAAACTGATGACACCATAAGGCAATGAGTCGTACTTAATACATTAAAAAGGTATGGGTTCAGAACTGTATTTGTTTCATTCCGCCTGGATATTTTGAGACAGATATATGCATGTGAAGGTCTTTCTCCATACTAGACATAAAGAAATGCATAGGATGCAAGGATGATACTCACAAGACTGTCAGCCAGCTGTTCTAGCAACTCCTGCAATATTGTCTGTTTACGAACCCGGAACACCCTGTAAAGGGCTCGATCAGGGTCATACAGATCATTCCCTTGGTGCCCATCAAAGCTATCTTCCAGCAACACCTGCACTGACATATAAAGGTGTGCCTCATTACGCTCTTTACGCCGGATCTGTTCCATTCGCTTCTCTTCTTGCAGTCGTTCTACAAGCTGCCAACAAAACCAACACAATTAGTTTGCATGCTTCATAAATAACTGAAGATAACAAATAAAGACTCCTAATTTAAAAATATTAAAAAATAATGTAATTACAAATTTAGCAAAAGAAAATTTTCCATATTCAACAGAACTCTTATAAGGAATCTCATTACCATAAACGTATAATGATCTTCTAAACTCCATCTGCTACAGGAACGAAGATGAGTAATCATCAGTCACAAGGATCATTTTGTCTTCGTTACAAAGTTAACAGATTCTGTTTTCAACATTCTTCCAGTATTCACATGCTGATGTGAAAATCAAATATATGTACAAACAACTTTCCTTCTGTACGGTTGCCTACACAAGGTATGAAATACTCTGGGTCATACTGTGGATGAACTTTATCTTGACCAAATTTTACACAATTAAGAATGCAGTCTGGGATCTACTAATACACTACTTATATTCTGAAGAACATCATACATATAAAATCAATTTCCTTAATGTGCAACTGTACATTTACCCTGTGCATTCTGGTAGGCATACTTAGTTCAACACTATACAGGGTGTCCCAGGAGGAATGTGCCAGACTTCAGGAGGGTGTTCCTTATGTTAAAGTATGCCGATATAACCCAAAACACCTATGTCCAAAGTTGAACGGTTACGGAGATAATGGCCCGAGAAAAGTGTGGTTTTCTGGCAGGTCCACGCACTGTACCTGTCAGCTGACAAGTCTTATCTATGTTTGTCCTTGAGTGTGGTGATGGCAGCTCACGTTAGCCCCATACACTCGCATACCAGAACGCGCAGTCAGCAATGTTATGTCAGCGTTTGCCATTCATGTGTCATGTATAGTGCTTGGAACTCTTAACGACAACTCTGACACGGCGTGCGAGTTTATTGTAGTCCAATTTAATGGCTTCATGTCATTCACAAGTTAGTTTGATGTTANTATCTATGTATAAGTGGTGTATGAATACCATGGTATATTAGTATATGAATTAGTGTCAATGGCAACAGGACAATACTGCAGTCCTCAGATAGATGCAGGAAGGGCCGAATCTGCTAAACCGTTTGTTATTCATTTCAAAGTTACAGTTCACATCACTTAGAAGTAACACCTTGTGTTGGAAAATTGTGTATTGTGCCCTCTGTGATTTGTGTCGTATCAGGAAACTGAAGGTTTAAAAGAACTTCACATTCTCATTGAACTATACTTCAAACTAGGCAGAAGTGATACTGAAACCTAAACTTCTGTGATATTAGACAACAAGGTGGGGCATTCAGCTCATTGATCCACAAGCAAAACTAATGAAAATATGGCACAAATTAAGAGAATTGTTCATGAAAGCAAATGTGTGACTATCCATGACTTGGTTAATGAAGTGAAAACTTGTCTGGATCATGCCAAAGCAATGAAAAAAATCTGAACACATGATAGACTGCTGAAGAAATCTTGCCATGTCTGCTAACTGGATTAATGTGTGTATAAACCTTCAAGAAAAAAACTTAATAAAGATGCATAGTTCCCCACAAGACTTTCTTGTACAAAACTCATGCTGGAACTGAAGGGGAGGGGATCTGATGACACCATAATTCAAGAATACGCTTTGGCTGCACTTGCCAAGTTCAAAACAAACGTGTTCTACCCCACAACAGCACAACTGCTACATCATGTCGTAAGGGAACATCATCATAGGGCATGGCATGAAAGAGAGAGTAAATATGGTTACCACAGTGAAGAGAGTACATTCCAAAAGTTATCTCATCACACCAGATAATAGTGTTTGCACAATACTTTCATATGTCATCAGCAACTGCACAAATTAAGTTTATATGCAGCTACAAATGCTACAAGTGATAATAATAAATGCTTCAAAACTGTAATATTAGTAATGACATTAAAATATATGAGATCTTTCAATGGGAGCCATATAAAAATGTAATTCAAAGTTATACTTATGAGGTGGATTTTTTTTCAATTTACCTAATCCATCCAGCCACACTATAGCCCTGGGATCAGCTCAGCCTCTAACAGAAATGAGTACCAGGAATATTCTTTGGGGTAAAGGGTGGCCGGCATGTAAGGCTGACAACCTTACCGCCATCTATGAGCCGACTGTCTAGAAAATGTGGGAACCTCAACAACTCACAACCCTATGGGCCTCCATGGCCTGTTACAGGGATAGATTTACTTTTTTTTTTTTTACTTAATAATGTTAATTTTCTCATCACAACTATTTGAAACAGCTAGAATTCAGAATTCTGTACACAAGCACAGATTACAAAATTCAAACCTTGTTATTTAAGTAAAGGCAGGATAATGGTACCAAACTAAGCGTCTGTAACCCTTCCGCAACAATCTTCAAACCAACTGATGATTTCTACAACTTTATGTAAACATCACCCTACTGAAGGATGTCCTATTTAATTTCCTAACATCAGTAAATCCAGCATGATGGCAGTAGGAACACCTGGGTTTTCAAAGTGTAGGATTGATAAAAGGTTAATCAAAAATGTGAAGCATAATAGATCATTAAAGTTTGCAGTACAAGGGCTGCATTATTATGGTCCAACCCTTATGCATGCATTCATTCATTCAACTCCTGAGATGGAAGCAATACTAGTTCCACTTAATGTACGAATGTGAAATTTTAACAGTAATCCAGATTGAAATTTTCAAACTTAAAATGTACTTATAATGAATGTATATAAAATAGTTGTGATATGATATGTTCACATAACATCTGACCCGTGATGTTTTCGTTAAGAATTTGTTAGTATTGTAAAAGAGAGGCCTGCCATGCAATACATGAAGCTTTGCTGTAAAAATGTTCGATAGCTTCTGAAATTTTTATTTTTTGGATATACACATATGATCTCATGTGCTGGCTGCTAGGCCACATAGTACAACTGGAGTAACAGACAATACATTCAAGTTAAAAATTTGTTGTGCCTAACACTAAAATTAAAAATGTGTTACATTAACAACAAAGAGATCTAATTCTTTTATATAATATACCGTTAAATTAAGTATTTGTAGTTATGTGATGGAGATAATTAAATCAAATATCTATATTATGAACAGGTCTTTTGTATTAATTTATGATTGTGACAATGATAAGCATATATCTGCATAAATTTGACCATATTTGAATATTTTATGTACAAATCTTGTACTGTGACTGTATTGCATGTTGATGGGTCCTTTGTTTTTATGTATGTGTTTATGTATTTTGACATGTTCTATTCCTATGGCATGCATGACCTGAAAGGATCCATGGAATTTAAAAAAACGTGAAAAGTAAAAATTGGCATGCAAAGAAACAGCTAAACATCTTAAGTCCCATGAACCTAAAAAGACCTATAGAGAATTTTAGCAAAAGTTTCACATATTACTTTTTTGTTTTAATGTTCATATGAGTTCAAGATTTCAAGGTTACCAATAAAATGTATCTTAAACTTCATATTATTAATCTGAAGATGCACAATCATCCACATATCCCTGCAGGTCAACATGTATGCAATGAGAAGCAAGTCACTATATGCCTTCATAATTAGGGAGATATGTTATATTCTGGGTGGGGGGGGGGCGTTCCATACAAAATATAGCAAATCTCTAGAATAATTTCTGTACATGTCCATCTTCAGATATCCTACATGATCAAACAACATAAAAGCCAATGACACTGGGTAAGCTTCATGTTTGTACATTTATGATGTATGTATGAAGATTTGAGTTGAACTTGACCCATAATAGCATGTGAGACATTTAACAGATTGATTATATTGTGAATGTTTTGTGAGACATTTGGGAGACTGATTATATGTTGTGTTTTGTGTATGGCATACTCTCAATGATAATTCTGTTGCCTGACAAGTGTTTTGGGCTCTGAGGTTGAAGATTTATAAGTCGGTTTTGTAAGAGCTTTGTATAGTATAATATGACTAAAATAAGATCTTGTGAAGATATAATGGACAAGAATTTTATAAGAATGAGCTCAACCTATCAAAACATGGGACAGCAAGTTCTGCTCAATGCCAAACAGGGCTTATCGTTGATTCCAAATGAGAAGGCAGGGCATACTGCAGATACTTAGCTTAATTATCCACACAGCAGTAAAGCAAAACCAGTCAAGAATTCAAAGGGAAGTTTCATAATTTGTTACATAATGTTTCATTCTGTTAACTTCCTCTGCTTTCTCCTGTATTCCTTTTCAGCCTTACAATTTATAGAATGATGTGTTAAGGACAACATTTATGTACAAATAGTCAACCGTAAACCACTTTCTTTATATAGTATACTATACCTCACATATCCAAACCAAAACACTGTAATTTCTCACACAACAGACATAATACAATGACCAAAATATTGGCCATACATTTGTGGACCTATTACCTAGCCTACATTAATGCAACATGTTAAGACTCAACAATTTGTTACGGTAACCCAAAATTGTGTAATAATGATAAAACTCTGGCTTACAAAATGATTTCAAATTGAGACATTATGGCACAAAGCCAGAACTGTGGAGCAAGAAGAAGCATCCATTGCTAGGCTAAACAGCCAGCCATTGTTAAGCAACAGCTCTGTAAATAGGTTTCCAAGGCAACAAAATCAGATGAAGGCTATCAGACATGAATGCAACAATAGAGAAACTGCTGCAGGCGGTGTTCTCCATTGGGTCTGTCCCAAGGCTATACCAGGAACTAAGGCTGATGGGAGGACAGGCAAGTTCTGAGTCGAAGTGAGTGCTAGCCTGTGATAGCGAGTGGTTAGCAGTCAACACTGTGAGTGAGTCTGCAGGCAGTCTTCAGTCAGTACTTGCCAGTGGTGGCTACAGTCAATGGCCAGGAGTTGCAGCTGAGTCATGAGAGTCACCGCCCAGTAAGGATGTGACCACGGAAGCTGAGGAATCTACGGAGCTGGGAGCCGTTACCAAGCAATGACTGGTGAAGACAGCAGACTGAGAAGCCTTGCAAGCTGTAGCGAATTAAGTGTGTAA